GACCCGGGAGCCCGCCCCTCCTCCCCGCCGCCCTCGAAGGGCAGAGCCCCAAAGCCAGGCCACACGGGGGGCGCCCTGCGCCCCGCCGCGCCCCGGCACTATCAGAAGGCCGCAGGCCTCCCGCCCGCCGCGCCCTGGCTTCTGCCGGGGTCCCCCCACCCCAAAACCCGGTACGAACGACTTAATATCGAAAGAGACAAGAACATATTCGTATCTAACCCGGAACCTGTGAGCCCAGGAGGCTGAGATCTGAGGCCGGTCCCCGAGACACCCAGCACCCCGCTACCCAGCAAGGACAAGCTAGACCTTATTGGGAACATGGAGGAGGACAGAAAAGGACCAGGACTGTTTATTGGGGAACAGTGCGGGGCACAGACCTTCCTGCAGAGGTTGTGCAAGGGCCTGGACTTTGGGGTGAGCTTATAGAGAGCTTCACAGGCCTATGGTCACGTTGGGGTCAAGGGCCATGTCCTTGGCCAGGCCCACAGTAGAAGCTGGGGTGGGGTGATTGCTGGGGCCTAGGTCAGAATGACCTGCTTGTGGACAAGCTGGGGGGCACACACCAGTGCTTTGCTTGACCCTGGGCAGTGAGGCAGGACTCAATGCTTCCTAGTCCATCTTTAGGTACATAAAAAGATTAGGCCAAGGGCTGAGACTGTGGCTCAGTGGTAGAGTGCTGGCCTGGCACGCATAAAGCCCTGGGTTCGATTCCTCTGTACCATATACACAGAAAAAGCCAGAAGTGGTGCTGTGGCTCAGGTAGTAGAGTGCTAGCCTTGAGCAAAAGCAGATCAGGGACAGTGCCCAGGCCCAAAGTCAAAGTCCCAGGACAGGCAAAAAAAAAAAGGATTGGGCCGAGAGGAGAGAGGCAGATATTCAAGATCTTCATATAGGGTTTTTTGGATACATAAAAACGTTGGGCCTGGGGGGGAGAGGGGAGGCTGGGAAGGGATGTGAAGGGTAAACAAAGGAGGAGGCTGCAATGCTTGGTAAGAAATGTCTGCATTATCCTGCCCATGTAATTGTAACCCCTTTGTACAGTATGTTCACAAATAAAATAAAATTAAAAAAAAAAAAAAAAAACGTTGGGCCAGGTAGCCTGCAGGGGCCAGCACGGCAGAGGGTGTCCCAGACACGCTGCCAGAGGAGCCAGCTCGAGACAAGGTCACCAGGAGACAGGGGAAGAAGCCAAGGAACCTGCTAAGGCTGACATCACTGAACTCTGCCTGGACATGTTCTCCAAAGTGGCCACATACCTGACTCGGGAGCTGAAGTGAAGACTCTAAGTTCCTGGAAAACAGGAATAAACGAACCCGCTTGAAGTATCTTGAAATGAAAGATCTTGCTATAAACAGTAGTAGACAGATTCAGCCTTATCTGAATTAGATCAATGCAATTGAGGAGCAGGTAGCCGCTCTTGAGTAGCAGCCTCTAAGTTAGATTCATATTCAAAAACCCTGGAAGCCAAGTACAAGAAGCTGGAAAAAAGATGGAAACATATTTCTATGGGATAAAGCCTTTAAAAAAAAAGTGTAGAAGAGTGTTTTATAACACATGAATCTGAGGCTGATAAATTACCCAAAGTTCCTCAGTAGAAATCTATTGGTCAGGGGCTGGGAAGGTGGCTCAGTGGTAGAGCGCATGCCTTGCATGCCAGAGGCCCTGGGTTCAATTCCTCAGCACCACATAAGCAAAAAGAAAAAAGCCGGAAGTGGCGCTGTGGCTCAAGTGGTAGAGCGCTAGCCTTGAGCTGAAGAGCTGAGGGACAGCGCCTAGGCCCAGAGTTCAGGCCCCATGACCAGACCCATAAAAAAAAAAAGAAAAAGAAATCTATTGGTCATTCTAGAAACATCCCAGTGATGAATACACTGGGGGGCTGTGGCTGCTCCTGAATCTTCTTTGAGTCAGTATCCCTCAGAAACTCACACTTACCCTTCTTACATTTTACTTGAATGCTTCATCATTCAGAACAGAGACTCTCAAAGTTCAGGATAAACCTGGCCTTGCCAGAGAACCAAATAAGGACCTGTTTTGTCTGATAGGATTTGATTACTGTATTATTTTCTCAACTGTCTAGTTCTTGAGTTCATTATTCTGTAAATAGTTGTGTTTTTTCATGAATGGCACTTAACTATTCTAAATTAAAAAGAGAAGAAAAAAAAAAGTTGGACCAGCCAGGCACCGGTGGCTCACACCTATAATCCTAGCTACTCAGGAGGCTGAGATCTGAGAATCACAATTCAAATCCAGCCCAAGCAGGAAAGCCCGTGAGACTCTTATCTCCAATGAACCACCAGAAAACCGGAAGTGGTGCTGTGGCTCTAGCGGTAGAGCGCTAGCCTTGAGCTGAGGGACAGTGCCCAAGCCCAGAGTTCAAGCCTCACGACCCACAACAACAGTAACAACAACAACAAAAAGTTGGGCCAAAGGGAGATGGGGGAAAAAGGTGGTCTTTCTGGTTACTGCTGACATGGGGGTATCAAGGAGTCACTGAGGCTGGGGTATTCGGGGTCCGGGTCTATGCTGGGCAGGGCAGTGTAAGGTTGCCTGCAGTGATAGGCTGGCCTTGACTTGCTCCAGGTTCTGAGTGAGGGCTGTAGACCTATTAAAGAGAAACTTGCAGAAGGTGGATCAGGCCAAAGGCTGACAAGGTGGCAGGACCAGTTGACATGAATGACACAGGTAGACACACCCTGGGCATAAGCCAGAAAAGGTCCATTTGGAGCAGTCAGGAGGGAGACAGGTATGGATGTTAGATGGGCATTC